GGGGGGTGCTAATTGAAATGGAAAGGGAAGGGATTAAGATAAAAGGAATAGAATGTGATGCAGATAAAGAAGAAATGAGAGAAAGTATAAGGAGGGAAGGAAAGTTAAGTAGTGAGGAAGCAGAACAGCTAGAGATTGTAAGAACTATAACGGAACCATGGCAGGAGAAAACCGCCATGATTAAACTGCCTAAAAAATGGGTAGACAAACTATGTGATAATGAAAAAATTAAAATATTGGGTTGTCCGGAAAGTTCGTGGCCTTCCACCACAGATGAAGATTAGATTAAAACAATGATCGAGAATAACCCACATCATACGATGCGTAAATTAGGAGAAATGTTAAACATATCAAAATCGACCATCCACAAGCATTTTGTAAAGCTTGGCTACGTAAACCGGTTTGACGTATGGGTTCCGCACGATTTAACGGAGAAAAACCTGATGGATCGCATTTCCATTTGCGACTCTGTCTATAAACGAAACGAGGAGACACCGTTTTTGAAGCAACTAGTGACGGGAGATGAAAAATGGATAATTTACAACAATGTTCAGCGAAAACGGTCTTGGGGAAAGCGGAATGAACCACCATTAGTTACCCCAAAAGCCGGTCTTCATCCGAAGAAGGTCATGCTCTGCGTCTGGTGGGATTGGAAAGGAATCCTTTATTATTACCTTCTGGCAAACAATGAAACCATAAATTCTGAAAAATATTGCTCCCAATTAGAGGAATTAAGGGTAGCAATTGAGCAAAAACGTCTAGAAATGGCGAATCGGAAGGGCGTCATGTTTCACCAGGACAATGCGCGACCTCATGTGTCCTTAACAACGCGACAAAAGTTGTTGGAGCTTGGTTGGGATGTTGTACTCCATCCACCATAATCACCAGACCTCGCGCCCTCAAATTTCCACCTATTCCGGTCTTTGCAAAATTCCCTTAATGGAAAAAATTTCAACTCTTTGATCGAAACAAAAAATCACATAGAAAAGTTTTTCGCTGAAAAACCTGAGAAGTTCTGGAAGGACGGAATTTTCAAGTTGCCTGAAAGATGGAGAAAGGTTGTGGAACAGAATGGCACTTATATAATTTAATAAATATATACCAAAACTTAAATGCGTTGCGTTTCAATCTTCCGTCAAAATCAACACGAACTTTCCGGACAACCCAATAGGATGGACACAATGCAGAGTGTATAGATGTTGGAGGTGTGGCAGGTATGGCCACGGCACAGGAGAATGCAGAGTACAAATAGGGAGTCAGGAAAATGAAGGAACGGAAATAGAAAGTATAAAAACACAAACAGGGAAGGTGAATGAAGGCAAAAAGGAGGGAAGAGAACCCATGGAGGAAGGGTTACTCCTGGGACTGCGGAGATAAACGCAAAGAAACAAGTCTAGTCAAGTTATAAATCTAGTCTGGAAAACCGAATCTAGTCGAAAAATAATAAATTACTTAACTTGAGTGAATGTGAGAGAGTTGGTGTGAATGGCCTGGAAAGGAAGAACGAATGGAAGACGATCGTGAGTGGCGTATTTGTTATGTTTAGACAACATGGGTTGTCAAGCCGATCGCGGCGTGTGTGAGTGTGTGTATGTGAATGCGTGCGTGGAGAAAAGGAAGAAGAGTGTGAGGTGTGTGTCTGTGGAAAAAAAAACGAAAAGCATCGAGCCGGAAGAGAGCGAATCGAAGCAGCGGTGAGAATAATAAAAGGAGAGATAATAAGTGAACAGCACCGACAACGCGTAGGGTTACTTTTATTCTAATAAACTCAAAAGTATTTAACCAAATCCCACAATAGTTATTTATTGATTTATTTATTTTTATTTACTGATTTATTTATTTAGTGATAATATAGTAATTTATTTAGTAGACATAAGGATGAAGGTCATTCAGACGAACTTAAACAACTCAAGGGGGGCTGGGGACTGCTTGATGCAGCAGATGAGACAGACAGATATTGAGCTGGCAATAATTTGCGAGCCCCCGAGGATGGGACTAGGGAAAAACAGCCTAATGAGTAGTGACGGCAAGGCAGGAATTATATATACAGGAAATAGGAGTATGAAGGAAATAGAGAAAGATGAGGGAGTCATAGCAGCTAAGGTGGAGGGAACAATATGGATAAGTTTGTATTTCTCGCCTAATAGAGCCATAAGCGAATTCCAGGAATTTTGGGACAGAATAGTAAGTCTAAGAAACCAACTTAGTAACAAGGGAGAAAAAGAAATTATAATTACCGGGGACCTAAACGCTAAAGACAAAATGTGGACGGGGAGGAAAAGTAATAACAGAAGGGGAGAAATAATAGTGCAGGATATTAATACTATGAATATGATCTGCCATAATAGGCAGGGCGGAGTTACTTGCAATAAGGCGGCAGGAACATCCACAGTAGACGTCACGTTTGGGACGCTGAAAGGTAAAAAGCTAATCGAAAATTGGGAAATATTAGAAGCGGAAACCCTGAGCGACCATAATTATGTAACATTTGAGGTGAAAGAAAAGAACAGATCAGAAACAATAAATAAGAAACAGGAGTGATGGATTGTTAGCAAAATGAACGAGAAAGAAGCTAAGCAGGAGATAAGGAAGATGGTAGCGGTTAACTATGAGGAAGGGACAGAACAGGTGATTAAAAAATGGGGAAAAGAAATGGAAAAGGTGTGTGAGGCATCTGTGCCTAGGAGAGGGAAAGGGAAGAATGATAAAAATTGCTACTGGTGGAATAAAGGGGATAGAGGAAATAAGGAACAAATGTAAAAAATTAAAAAGGAGAATAGCAAAACTAAAGAAGAAAGGATGGGGCGGAACCGGGGATGTAATCCAAATAGAAGGGGAATATAAACAGGAAAAGAAGACACTGAGAAAAAAAATACATATAGCAAAAAAGGAAGCGTGGGATAAACTTATAGAGCAAGTGGATAAGGATGTTTGGGGTTTTCCGTTCAAAATTATAACTAAAAAACTAAGAGGACAACAGGTTAGATTAGAAAAAACGGAGGCGAAGGAAATAATCAGAGAACTGTTCCCGGAAGGGAAAGGAATAACATACAGTACGAGCGAAGAGAAAGAAGAAATAAAGAAAAGCAAGATAAAAGAAACAAATAGGAATGAAATAATAGAAACAATATGTAGACCAGACTATATACCCAACGAATTGGTTAAAATTCTCATTAAGGAAAACCCGAAAGAAGTCGTAAATTTAATAAATAAATGCCTTAGAGAAATAGAGTTTCCGGACAGCTGGAAGAAAGGGAAGGTAGTATTAATACCAAAAGGACAGGACGGAATAAGGACAGAAAAATATAGACCGATATGTTTAATTAATAGTATGGGAAAGGTGATGGAAAAAATATTAGAGAAAAGAATTAAAGAAAAGGTTAGGTATAAATAAAATAAAATTAGTTCTAACCAATTCGGGTTTAGGGAAAGGAAGAGAACCGTGGATGCGGCAACTAAAATAGTTAAATACATTGAAAAGGGAATGGATAAAGGAGAATATGTAATGGCAGTGAGTCTGGACATCCAAAACTCCTTTAATACGGTGGAGTCGGAGTCAATAGTTAAAGGAGCAGAGGAAATTGGATTGGGGGAAGGCATAATAGAAAATATAAAAGACTATTTTAGAAACAGGAAAGTAAGATTGGAAACGGCGCAGGGGGGTACCGCGGGGATCGGTATTGGGGCCGATCCTATGGAATGTAGCATATGATAGAATCCTGGGGAGTAACGATAAAGGAGCATTAGTTGTATATAGATAATAATATTAGAGAAAGGTAGAATATATGAAGAAGTTAGAAGGAAAATAGAGCGTAAAACGGCAGGAATGATTAAAAAAATAGAGGAGATGGGACTGAAGGTAGAAACGGGGAAAAGTGAAATGGTGGTTTTTACAAAGAAAAGGAAGAAGTATGGGGGGAAAAAGGGCATTACAATTAAAGGAGAGAAAACATTGGCGAAAAAACAAATGAAATATTTAGGTATTATCCTGGATAGTAGATTGACATTTAGTAACCATATCAAGTATGCGTACGATAAGACAGCAATGGTAATGAATAGACTGGCGGTTATAATGAGAAATACGAAGGGCCCCACGCAAAAAAAAAGGAAACCCTTAGCTAGTGTGGGGCAATCTAATTTCCTACATGGAGCACCGGTTGGGGCAGAATGCATTACAAAAGGGTTCAATCGAGCAATTGCGGAAAAGGCAACCAAAATATGTGCAATAAGAGCTGCAGCAGCATATAGGACGGTCTCCACGGAGGCCGCTGCAGTAATAGCGAGTATACCCCCGATGAGTATTCTTGCAAAGAATAGAAAAAGGAACAAAAGCTGTACAACTTCTATTAGATAAAACAAGCACAAAAACAGATCAAAGTGAAACGAATTTAACATGACATTTTTCTACAATTAAACATTTTTATGTGATTTTTTAATCTTCGTTTCAAAATTCTGCTAGAAGTCATATTTTCAAGTCATAATACTTCGTATTAAACAAGTACTTCATTAATTAGCACTTTCTAATTGGTCAACAAAATCTATAATGTTCACCAAAGAGAACCCACCCCTTATTATCTTATCTGATCGTTCAACTGTTAGTTATCAATGGCAAATCATTAATGCTTATTACCTTGCAAGTCGGGTTGTTTCAGTGCAATCCAAAGTCGTGAGTTGTATTGGCGAAATGGAAGGATACAATACATCAGTTTATAGTCATTCTTGTACCTGTCGATATACATATATATTATCCTTGTAAATGAGAGGGTATATGTATTGATTAACATTATGTATTATATCATGCGTGGTGTGTATTCTGCGTATGATGACCCTTGGCTCCTTCTAAGCTTTCTCTTGGAATGTGAAACGCATCTTCAGTTTATGCTACTAATTCTTCTATATTCGCGTCGTTTTTCTTCAATCTCTATATTCGTTTGCACTTTTTTTTCATCGAGTTGTAGTAATTAAGACGGCCGTAGTATGATATTATCGATCTTGAGTAATTGAGTTGCGTGTGTCTGGAATGCTGAAGTTGTCATAAACTCAAACGGTTCGATCATTAAGATTGGTATAATTTACTTCACTTCGTTACTGGTTGAACTGATTTGTAACTGAAGCTTTTTCTAGATAGACTGCTTTAATCGCAACAATTTCATTCTTGATACGTGTCTCTCACGTGCTCCCGGATTATCCACATTTATTCGAAATTGAGCTTCATTTAAGTAGGAATGTTTCGAAATAATCGAAACTCGATTAGCTTCGGCAATATATCAAAACGTCAGAACTCTAAGATTCCCTGTTGACTGACGAGCACCCAGTTCTCAACTCGATCGCGAATCTTCGTTCGATAGCCCACAACTCTTATCGATGCTTTTCTTAAGTTTAATCAGATTTATTTCAGAGTCTAAGTTGACATTACGAGAACACTAGTTACATTACCGATACATTCTGGATATAATTTATTCCAACTAGAATAGTTCTTCGGGAAAGCCTATTCCCTTTTTCTTCTACTGCTTCTCTTTTGCTGTTTCGTTTTTCTTACACTCTTCTGAACGTATCTTTTCTGATATCTTCCTCTACGAGGCCTTGGACTTTCATTGATCAACACTTTCAGAACTGTGCACTCTAGTCCACAATTTGGTTCTCCAAGTCCGTTTCCCAGTTCACTTGGAAAGATAGAATACTATTTCGCTAGCATTCGTTCTAGCCTGGAATTTACAACATTCACGCACAATAACGTTCCGATATTTTGTAATAATTTTACACGGTTACAGCGAAATTTCGCAATTTTCCTTAACCTTGTGTATACGTCCTTTCTTGGTTAGTCACGAGAGAACTGTATATTCTGTTATTTCATCGCGTAGGGTTAAGTTCGATTTCATTCCATCGTCACTTTCTACTATTTTCAAAAGCTTAATCGGAATTCGATTACGATTTGCCCTCAATGTACACTTCGGATAGTACTATAGGTAATATCGTCAGATGATAAACATGTAACTTTATCTCATGAGGTACGTTTATCCGTGATCACCCTAAAATCGGATGGAGGCGATGAAACTCAATTGATTAGCAATATTCGGCACTGAACGTGCATAAAACGAATGAAAAAGCTGAAATTCATTCTATTTGGCTAATGTCAGCAGTGATTGAGCTCAAAAGAAATTTCAAACCTGGTGTACAATGGATTGGCAATATTTCAGCACTCACCAATTGCAAGACATACGAAAACGATGACTTTCAATGGATTACCAGTGT